CTAACATGTCACATTAAGTTACATTTACATAACCCTAAGCCCTCTTTATCCAATCAGCCCTCTTTGCTGATACTCATCATAGCAGAATGTCACAGCAAGAACTCACTTATCACAACATCTCAGTGCTCTCTGCATGTAATGCCTGTGTTCTGTTCTGTAAATGCAAGGACAAGAGTGAAGCTGGGACTTTCATGAAACATGGGTATTGGTCCAACTGGTCAAATCTACCTCAACTGTGCTTGCAAGGACCCTTCCAAAGGATTCAAGGGAGGTTGTGGTTTCTTTGGTAAGCACAATCCATGAAGCAGTATATGTGTTGACTGGAACTGATGATCACAATCTGATAAGCCTGGTTTGAAGTCTACCTTACTCAGTGTTCCATCAAAAACACTCTGATCATTGTAACAATTGTTCCTTCCTTGTGGCATAAAATCAAGCCAATCTCAAGTACACCCACCAGTCCAGTTCCTTCTACACCCTGCAAGGCTTTACAGTATCTGATGCCCATCATTGGGGTGAATACACAAGACCCACTGCCTGTCTTGAGCTCTGTGACTGGAATCCCCAAAGTGGCAGGTATGCATCTCCAGTTGTAGCTCATGCAGTTGTGTCCATCCTCATCAGTTGTTCTGGTTTTAGACACTACCAGCACACTCAATCTCAACACATTGTCCCTTTAATATTAATCATCAGCTAACTATCCTGATCTTCCAGTGCTCCTCAAAGAAATCCAGCATGAAATAGTAGGTGAAGCTAGTGAGATGTGGACAGAATGCATACTGGAAATTACCAATTGGTTCTGGAGAGTAATGTATGTAGTTATGGTGACTTAATGTGGCAGGAGTGTGACTCAGGGTTGCTTTTTCTGAAAGTAACAAGTTGTCACATTTTTTTAAGTGGCTCACAAGTGTAGCAGCATTACAACTGGCTCATGTTGTTTAAAGTGAGCCAAAATTCTGTGTGGTGACTGTCAACAACTTCTCACACTTTAAAAGCAATGCTAGGATATGCAGTTCCATTACTGCACCCATGGGGTGCATTGCCAAGTGTGAGAGTCCTGCTTCTGTCAGGCAAGACTCCTCACTAAAAATGACAAGATGATTATGGGCACAGGGCCGAGAAGAGAAAATGGGTTCCTTTACTATCCCAAATGCCCAGGACTACTCCCTGCAAGCCAGATGGGCACTGGACTTATCTAGAACTAAACTAGATATCTGGCAAGTCCAGTGATGACCAGTGCAAATCCTTACCTTGCACTATCTAGTGGTCAGACCAGTGCAAATCCTTGCCTTGCACTATCTAGTGGTCAAACAAGCCTCA